CTATCACAAGCCTGCCTGGCAGAGAAGAATAGAAACACAAATAAATGACATTAGACAGCAATTAGGCAGGCTGACACAATACACTAAAAACAACATAATACCTAAATTAAACAAACAACTCAAAAACATGTTCAAGAAAATCAAAACACACACAAAACATGAACATCACAACACACACATTACAGAATACATCGATACACTAAAACAAAAACTCGCAGCCAAAGCACGTAGACTCAAACGATACAAAACCTGTACACTACAAAAACAACAAAATAAATTATTCAATACAAACAAATACAGTCACTGCGATAGTTTTTCTACAGGAAACAAGAAACATCACAGTTACATAAAGCAGTAACTCTAGCAGACTCAAATAGCACACCATTAAACTTGCACTCACAACATACAGACATGACACAACACATAAAAAGCATAGACACCATCAAGCAATCGTGGGCTCAAAAGGCACTCCATGGCAGGCATCCTTATGACCTGGCCCAGGATTTTGTTGACAAAACTGCGTCAAACAGCTGGTTAGATCGGAGATGCCTCTTTGCGAAGACGGAAGGATTCATGATTGCCATACACGATCAGGTCATAAATACTAAAAATTACAGAAAACACATACTCAAAGATATGACACTCACAAATGACACATGCAGAAAATGTCACATCATGCCAGAAACTATACAACCCATCACTTCTGGGTGCAAGCTCTTGGCATAGACAGATTATTTACACAGACATAATCAAGTAGCAAATATAATACACCAAGAGCTTGCAAAGAAACACAAATTNGACACTATATTAAGATTATTTATTAATCAGAAGTGTTAAGTTCTAATTAATAAATACTCTTAATAAACAAAACAATTTAAGAAATAGATCAAGGAAGAAAACTATATGAAAAGAGGATTAAATTAAAATAATTTTTCCATTACACAACGGATTTTAACAACGCGGAAATTCGTATAACGAGGAACGTATCTACCGCGTTATAGGGGGTCTAATCTATAAATTATTAAGAGCATAGACACTATATTAAAATTATTTATTAACCAGAAGTGTTAAGCTCTGATTAATATATAATCTTAATAAACAGATCAAGGAAGAAAATTATATGAAGAAAGGATTAAATTAAAATACTTTTTCCATTACAATGGATTTTTTAGCTCCAATACACAATTAATTTTTCAACTAATTCTCTCCACATATCGAATTGTCGTTTTCTTGTAAATTTGTTGTCGAATTTTCCACTGTTCATTTTCTTATTATTTTCTATATATGTTACTAATATTTCTTTTTGTTCTTCGCTTATTTTTTAAAATAAAACATTCGAGGTTTCCATTTTGTTTCTGCGTGCTATATTGCTATAAGACAAAACTTTTAACTATAACACGTGTAAACTAATTCACGTTGATTTGTTTACAACTTGTTACAGTTAATTATATATTTGTCAATATGGACATTAATCATTAACAGGACAATTATACTGGTGTTAAGCTTTTATACAAGACTTGAGGAAAAAGTTCTTAAAGAAAACAGACTTTCTTTATTGAGCTACCTGTACACATACAATGGTTAACATCTGTGTTTCAGGCTATCATGCACTTCATAAGCAGGGTTACAATGGTTATAATATTTAAGATATACAGGCATCCAATTACTGACACTAATTTGTATTTACAGTAGAGTATCACTTATCCAAAAGCCGGTTATCCGAAACGTCAGTTAACCAAAAGCATTCCAGTTGGCAAATTTAAATTTTCACTAGTGCTGTGGCACTACAGTCTTTGGCTATATATTGGGCTACTCCAATATTTGTTTTGTTGATGTGTGTGTTTTAGCTGACAGCACTGGCACTTTTGTGTGGTGTTTTTCTGAGGACTGTGTGTCGTGCTGAATCGAACTAGAAATAATTTTTGATACTAGATCAAATTCTAAAGTATATTTTTTTAATTTTTATATTTTTCAATATATTTATTTTGTTTGTAAAAAATAAAGAAATAATTTTTAACGAAACAATAGCCACAATTATTATTTTAAAAAGTTTACGTTAGGCTTAGCATCAACGAAAATTCAACACAAAGCGACACAATGAAGAAAAATTTCAACATGGGATAGGTTAATATATTTTTTCGACATAATTGGTTATCCAAACAACCCCAGTCCCCAATTGATTCGGATAAACGATGCTCTACTGTACTTTTATTTTGCATCATATTCCTTTACAATGTTCTATCGAATAACAATACTCAGTATTGTAATTCGATAGAACATTGTAAAGGAATATGAAGCAAAATAAAATTAAATACAAATTATTGTCGGTAATTGGATGCCTTTATATCTTAAATATTATATCCATTGTAATCTTGTTGATGAGGGGCATGATAGCCCAAAACACAGATGTTAACCATTGTATGTGTACAGGTAGCTTAATAAAGAAAGTCTGTTTTCTTTAAGAACTTTTTCCTCAATTCTTGTGTAAAAGCTTAACACCAGTATAATTGTCCTGTTAATGATTAATGTCCACGTTGACAAATATATAATGAGAAATTTAAATAAGGACAGTAAGGCAATAATAATTGTTACAGTTAAGTTGATTGGTCAAATCATTATAATCGCAAACCCAGATGCATTGTAAATAATCCCATCATGCTTAATGACACACATAAGCAAGTGAATATAACCTACTTCCACTCCCCTTTTGAGTTTGCTTGATGGGTCTAACTCGAGACTACTGATTATGTGAGTCATAGTAACATGAGTGAGTTCAATGACATCAATTTGAGTACAACATGAAAAATGATACTAAGGGCTCTGGATGGCAAGTTGAAACCAATGAAAACAAAATAAAAGTACTGATTGAAGCAAACTGCTGAACAACAACACATGAAATCACTAGATTAAATTTGTCAAATTGAATCGTTTATGATTACTTGAAATGAAATGGTTTCGTTTCAAAGCTCGATATATGAGTTCCACATGTTCTTAAAGAGAGATGCTCTCTTTGGTGGGATTTTAAGGAATTTTTTTGAGCTTTTACCAGACAATTTAACAATTGATACAATCAAAAGTGTACTGCCATCGAGTAAACAAATTGAGTAATATCATCAAACAGAAAAGGCCAGAATTTATCAACAAAACAGGTGTAATGTAATTAATGCCAAATTTCAGACAAGTATGGTAACTCGTCAGAAACTGTTACAGCTTAGATGGGATGTGCTATCAAACCAACAATATTCGCCAGATCAGGCACCCTCAGATTATTACTTGTTCTGGTCTTTACAAAATTTTTTAAACTGTAAGACGTTTACTTGAAATGAAAATGTCAAAAATTACTTGAATCCGTTCTTTTTTGTAAGCAAACATCAAAACTTTTATAAACGTAGAAACATGCTACTAACAGAAACAAGGCAACAGGTAGTTGATCAAAATGGTCAATATATAATTCAATAAAATATTTATTTATTATAAAAATAGTGTGTTTGACACAGAAAAAAAAAACGAAATTACTTTCCGAACAATCCAATATAATACAGTAAATTAATTATAAAGAAAGACTTACTGTTTTCTGATGATTGGACATGGTGGAAATGAAGACGACTTAGTTTCTTCAAATTTTTAATTTTTTAAAAAATACCATCAGCCATTTTAATTAAAATTATAGAGACATCATGTAATTTGGACTAAAGGTAGATGGGTTAAGCAGCCATCTCGTATTGAATTTAATAATTAAAAATACATTAATTAATTTATAAAATATTCTAGAAAAAAACTAGTCCAGAACAGGACTCAAACCCACAATTCCTTTTACTTACAGATGTGTTACTAATTACATTACCCAGATCTCCATCCAATGTCCATTGCTAGGCCAATTAATTTAGAAAATATAACCATAACATGTATGATCATAACTTATAAATTAGTTGGTCTAAATTGAAACAATAAGTCAATTAATTATATTTTATCTAATTTTACACATAATATTCAAATATTCCTATGTAGTAAGGAAGTGTGTGTTTATTCACAAGCCAAACAACTACCAAATTAAAATCGGGCTACTTTTCTGCAATTATTTTTAATTAATTTATAAATAATTTGTAACTAGAGGGAGGTGTTGGATGCTCTTATTAAATTTAATAATTACAATTAAATTAAATAATTTAATTAAAATATTTTGGAAGAAAAGAATTGGCCCAGAGCTATACTCAAACTCACAACTCCTGCTTAATGTGCAGATGCGTATAATGCATCTGCATATTCTAAATTATTTAAATAAAAATTAAATATTTTTTAAATATAAGATATAAAAGAAAATTTCAAATGTTCAAGGTTAATTACAAACCTGATCCAGCTCCATCTTTCTGAGAAACTGGGTTCGATCCCGAAGTAACTGACTTATTTTTCTTTTGTGAAGCTGATGATTTTGTACTCACCATTGTAGACTTTTCTTCTATAAACAGCAAAATATAAAGCTAATTATAACACCAAGTTTCTCAATAATAAATTAAAACAAAAAATAAAAGAAATAAAATAAACAAAAGTATGAATTTCATTATACTCACATTTTAAACAAAGATGATGAAAAATGTTTATAATTAAAGTAAAATTTTATTATTATTAAACATTTAAGAGAGAAAAATGTATTTTAATTTTATTACTTCTTATATACTAAAAAAATATAGTAGTATAAATTACTCTAATCTAAGTTTCAAAAAACTAAAATAATATTAAACTACACCACAAAACACCAGGATGTGTTAAAAAAAATGTACTCCTATAACCTATAACCAGTGTGTCATAAAAAAAGAAAAGAAAAAGTTCAACACAAACATTTTCAAACGACTGTGAATTCTTCTTCTTGTGTAAAACGGAATTTCTGATGGATCAGAGCAAACAGTTTAGGAAATTCGAGAAACATTCAAAGGTGTTATATGAGGCGCATGCCTATTCGTATGGTTGACATAACATGACACGACCATGACATAACCATATGAACATGCATGCGCCTCATATAACACCTTTGAATGTTTCTCGAATTTCCTAAACTGTTCACTCTGATCCATCAGAAATTCCGTTTTACACATGAAGAATTCACAGCAGTTTGAAAACGTTTGTGGTAAACTTTTTCTTTTGTTTTTTATGACACACTGGTTATAGGTTCTAGGAGTATATTTTTTATTTTTTTAAATAATATTAAATCAACACATACATTAATTTAATCTTATTTTAATAGAGTGTAAGAACAACAACAATTTTAATGTAAGAATTATATCAAACTAAAATATACTGATATAAATTTATTAGAAAATAAAAATGATATTAGTTTGTGATTTTAAAAATAGAGATTTTTGATTTATCAATGTTCTACAATATACAGTGATTTTTGTGATGTTTGTTAGAGAAATAAAACAAGCCTGCGTATATATTATTCTTTGAAACAGAATGATATGACATTTTAATTGATAATCTTGATTTCTATGAAGTATATAATATCTACAGTATATAAACACACAACCCATAACTCCAATCATCGTCCTTGCACTTCTAGCAAACACATTTAATAATAATGCACACAATTTTGGCATATTTCATATGCCTGCATCAGGTTTCACACTCTAGCTTCAATTTGATAACATTGTAAATCATTATATTACTCAGTAAGTGGCATTATTTAATTTTTAAGATATAGAAGATATTTTAAGATTAAGTTACTTTCGTCCTGATACTGGTATAAGCTAAAACTAGACAATAACTAAAGATGTACAAAATACCTTATGTACTTTTCCAGCAACTTAAACATTAATATAATTAACATTGTCAGTAAAAAAAGTACATAAGGTATTTTGTGTGTGTCTACTTATTTTCGTCCTATATTGTTGAAGCACAAAAAATATAAAACAAAAATGTGTGTATTATTAATAAATGTGTTTGCTGGAAGTGGTGTTGGAGTTACATGTTAATCATAGTTCCAGCTTTGTTCATTGCTTTTATAAATATTTATACCATTTAATGTGTGCCAGAAGCTCTACATTCTGGATTCTAGTATGCTTCCAGTGTAATCTTTAGTACATCTTATTCAATGTAAATACAGTCGTGAACCACATAATATTAATTCAAACAATGACTGCATATACATTACAGGTTCCATATTGTTATAATATTTTGATTTAGAAAATGGAAAATTTTGATTACTGTAAAAATCGTGGTGGACAGTGGCCTAATCTGGTGGGAAAATATAGATGGTATAGGGAGAAAGAGCTTGTTAAAAATTTGGCAACATGTTCTTGCATCTTTTGTATGAAAAAGCAATTGTTCTGCTAGGCATAAATAAATAGCATTGCAGGTCCTAAAATATAGTATTTACAGAAAATCTTACAAAATCTTTTCAGATTTGAAATATATAATAAATAAATAAAATTACAGATATAGGAATAATTACATAATAAACATTTTGATTAATACAGTATTTGTATAATAAATCTTGGCTATTTACTCAATACACATACACACACATATATATATATAATATAGTGTTTACAAAAAATCCTATTTCATAGAACACATTGTGGACATTAAATGATAACTATAATAAATTATATTTAAAATTTCAATGAATTGCTTAATCAATAAGAGAACTGGTGTTAAAAGTTTAGAATTAATTAAATACAAACAAAACCTTTTATCCAGTAACAGAACTTCAATGAAAATTCCGAACATTTTTGCCTTCACCAAGGCCTGCCTCAGATTTTTAGAATTAAAGTAAATTATAAAAATGCCAAAATTTATGTATGAAGTTATTTCAGAAAAAAACAACTAAACCTTGAAGAATATTTGAAAATTTGTATTTAAACTGATAAAAAAAAATCTCAAGTTTTTTCGACTTCATTCTAATTTGTTGAATTAGAATCTAATATAAAAAGGAGAAAGTTTATTAGTTTGTTCTTTATATGTGTCATCATGATTTGAGAAAATGCAATAAAACTTTTCAGGAACCATCCTCTCATCCAGGAGGAAGTCAACTATTACTTTTGAGAGTTAACTTTTATCATCCACCCAACAAAAGACCCTCTTACTATCTGACCAGCAGGATGATGGCATTCAAATAGGAAAATTAGATAATACAAAGCAACCAGTAAGCATAAATGTTTTTAGGGCTTTTTTGAGGGTGCAAACGGGCAGATCTACATAGGGACTAATAGAACTTAAGTCCTGGGCTCCCAAAAATTGAATTATCATCATAAATTTTGAATACTTTTTCATTAACAATGAGCACTTACCATATAGTAAAAACTAGTTAATATTAATGATATAATAATAATTTTTAGTATTATTTGTATTAACAAAAAGTGGAGCTTCATTAAACTTCAGTAAGCCCTAGGCCCCGAAAAACCTAGATCTGCCTCTGGGTGCAGAGCTTAAATACTTGGTCCAATTTTCACAAAATTTGATTGGTTGACCAATTACCAATTATTAATTCTAACATACCATTCACAGTCAAATGCATATTTGATATGAATTTGACTGTGAATGGTATGTTAGAATTAACATTAGAAAAACTTTGTATATCTTAAATTATCATAAGCAGGTAGAAGTCAATGATTATTTTCTGTTGAAAAACATCAAGGAATTGATGTTTTTCAATTGCATCATTTCCTACCATCCAGATATCAAATTCTTAATGAACATAAAACGTACAGGTATACCTCGACTTACGTCGTTCCCGATTATACGTCGTTTGTCAAAAAAGTATATGGAAAAATAAAAATCAGGTTTAAGTCATTTTATTCGACTTTACGTCTGCCCGCCACAAATATTGAAGTCGTAATATTACTAGAAAAGCGTTTAAAGCACATAAAATCATATTAAAATATATACATTTACAAGTATGTACTGTACTTACAGTACATGCATTCGTAAATTTAGATTACTTTTTTCTGTACTATATTAAAAACTAAAATTTATTTGTTTGTAAGCTTAAAATAGATCCTTATTAACCATATATTATTAAAAATGCATTAATAAATAAAATACAGAACCGGGAATGGTAATTTATGGTTTAGCCTAGTGACAAATAGATTCACAGACAAGTAAATTCGACTTACATCGCTTTCCTGGAACCAATTACCGACGTAAGGCGAGGTATACCTGTACTCAAGAGTTTTCCAGGTTATGAACATAAATCTTTGGTCCATTTCTCAAAATTAGATTGTTCATTTATTTTTATTTTTAAATAAGAATATCATATATAATATCAAAAATTTCTTGGCAATGCCTGGCTGCATGTAGCTTCGCTAAGATATATATAATATTAAATATAAAAATATTTTCATATTTTGTTAATATAATATATATAGGAAAAACATTGAAGGAAATGCTCTGAAAACTTAAAAAAATCACCAACTATCTTACCAGTTTTAAAATTTTTTTGTCACTTCAAATTATTTATTGCCACCAGTTTTATCTACTAATTAATGCAGGTACTGGTAGCCTTATCAGTTTGGAGTCTAGAAAGCAAAAATAATATTTGCTTTAATATTAATATTAATGATATAATAATAATTTTTTAATGTTTTAATTGGATATTTTTGTGTGTTTTTTAAAGGAATGTTTTAGCCTGACGACCTAGTAGCCTACAAAGAAAGGTCAGGTTGTCAATGGTGTTCTGGAACACATGATCAGAATAAATGGTGGTTTCAAAAAATAATTTTTGGACAGACTGTGTCTTTTGTGATTAAAGCAAAAATAATATGTTAAGCTGTCACTTAGAAATAGTAATAATTTTTTAATAATTTTCAATGAATAATTCCAAATAACACATTTGATTACAATGTTTAATCAGTATTTCACATGTTCTATTGTGTCAAAATTTTTGTTTTAGTCTACTGAAAAAAATCAAAGTAAAAAAAATGTCACCCCAAAAATTCCCAAATTTTCTCTCAGCTGATAAAAAAATTCCCAATCTGAAAACAAATTAAATTTAATTTATTAAATGGTATTACACAAAAACTGCCTTTGATTCTCAACGTCACTTCCTACCTCCCTACCCAAACTTGTCACTTGACATCATAAAATCACTGTGTGATGCATGGAAGCTTGACATTCTGCTGTTTTTCTTGAAGCTTGGTTTATGATTCAATTTCACACAGAAAATCAAAGTAAGTGAATTGAAGTTTTTATGGCTAGTATTATATTTTATATATAAACATCTTGAAGCCCAAGGATCTTATCAAAACCAAACAATTACCTGATTAAATCAACTACATTCCCACTACTAATAATTATTAAATATTGAGTAACTTGACACTAGAGGTACAGTACCATTTCATATTAAATTTAATAATTATAATTAAATTAATATTTATTAAATAATTTAAAAATTTCTGTAAGAAAAGAATTTGTACACAGTGAGAATGTAGCCCAATTTAATCTAGTAATCATTTAGCTTTGATA